ATGAATGGTAAATAGTACAATAGTAGTCCATAGGTCAACATAAAGCTCGTAATAAGAGGGGTATGAATATGGACAGTTTAGCTGCATAACGATTATGCGATAGAAATATACTCATAATATTGGTCCATAATTGGATCCCAAAAATTACCATTCATTATTCTTATCTGGACACAACAAATTATTTAAATGCTCAGTGAGATTCAACTAAAACAGTATACTCTATAGTATTTTGAGTTGTTCATTTGTTTGCGAAATAACTGATCATTGATAGCTAGTAAATTCAAAGTTCAGTTATAGATGGATATTTCAAAACCGATTAAAATTAACTGATCTCGCTAGAAAACAATAGAAGTTGAATTATTTTCTGAAAGTTTGAAATATAAAGAATAGTTGTATAGCACGTTCATTTTGTTCTTAATTAAAAATGCTCGGAAATACTTTTGACAGCTATTGCTCCAAATTTGTCTGTAGGTTGGGTTAGGGATGTAGTACTAGGTAAAATTGGCAAGTCGATTAATGAAGTAGTAAGTCTTCATTAATTGAGGTGGTTGGGGCATGTTTCACGTATGCCCAACCACCGCTCACCTCAACGAGCAGTGTTGTCTGGTGTAGGATTAGATTAGGAGAAAAATAGGGGCGATCAAACCAAGACGTGGCACTAATCCATGAAGTCGTTGATAATTATACTGAGCCATCTTAGCAGCAGGTGTAGACTACCTGGTTGTAGTCCACGTGATTATCGTGACCAATCGCTGGAGGCTCTCAATGACATGACTCAAAATCGATTTTAATGGTGCGCGTGCACCCATTCTTTGTCTTCCCTCAAAATATGAGATTTTGAATTCCTCATAATCTTATTATTTCACTGACTCGTATTTACTAAGGGATTTTCCCTAAAAATTTCGTCTCTTTATACCAGTGGTGTATGGTAACTGGAGCTGATGTGATAGGTACTAGGTTTATTTTGGTGCAGACTACTTGGTTGGGGTCCGCGTGACTTTCGTAACCAATGGTTGGAGATTCTTGGTGACATGGCTCAGAATCGATCACAATGGCGTCGGTGTATACACTCCCTGTCTTCCCTTAAACTAAGAGATTAAAATCACTTCATATCTTTCTTTCTACGAACCAATTGCTTCTTCTTGTACTATATCTCTATATGCAATCTTCCTCTTATTTATTACCACCTTTGATCTAACCACTGCTATGAATCCGGTGTTCATCTTGTTGTGCTGATGCGGTATGGCAACCTGGACCGATGCACATATGTGCCTGGTCCTACGTTGTAGCTGACTGACTGACTTATTTTGGTGGTTTTGTTCTCTGAGCTGGATGGTTTGATCATGGAGCTTTCATCGTTCTTCTGAACGACATCATCAGCACAAACTTCAGATAGAAGTTTATTTTGGCTCACTAACTCCTTGCGTAAAAATGATCCCGATTTCAACCCAACTCTAGCCATCAAATAATAACCACTATCCGCCTGAAACTATAATTTGACTATTATCCTATCGTTAGTACTGTGATGCTAATTTTGTATTCAGAAAAAGCTGTTTTTAATTCGTTAAGTATTGTTGACACTATCTTCATCTGTCTCTCTAGAGAATGACCTCTTTGGAGATTTTCTTACTAAAATACTAAAGGAAGATGGCAAATAGGTTGATGAAGTAGTGAATATTTATGGAATAAGGTGATTGAAATGTGTATCATATATACCCAACCGTCATCTACTCCGGCGCACTTTGTTAGATGGTTTAGAAGTAGTTTGAAGTGCAGTTAGAGATGGCCAAACGAAAATGTGGAATTAGTCCATGACATCATTGGCTGTTGGACTGAACTGTGTTGATAGATTCCACTTGAAAATCGCAATGAGTGATTGTAGATGTTGAGTAATAATAGTCAGAATCAGTCGTAGTGTCGCAGATACATCCACTTTTTCCTGAGCTTATCAATTGTTTTATTACTTGAATCCATTCTTCTGTAGTCGTTTCTAAGCCTCATCTTTTTGTTACTGTTTGTACGACTCCGGTAATTTTATCTATCTTTTCAAATGGTGCTGGAACTTCGGTTGATTCATGTCCACGTCCCTTACAACTGACTGAATTTTAATAAAATATGTGATAAGTGTTGATCGCTGCTAATAATTTATTTGTAACTACGCCTTTTACCATATTCACCTAAACCGGTCATCCAAACAGATATAATTATGGAACCGATCGATTTTTTAATTCATGAAGTTATAATTTTCGTCAAGCAAATGTTGACCTACAAACTAGACGATGTCTTCTTAGTTAAAAGTATCTTTTAAGCTTCAGTCATAGTCTGATCCTCCACAAATATTCAAGTTGTTTATTCCTATCTCATCCTTAAAAGACTTGCAGTATAGTAATTCCTATTTTATTAATCTTAAATCTATGCATGCAAATTAAACGAACAGCGAAAAGTTTTACCATAATACTTTGAAAAGTGGTACACCAGCTTGCAATACTGTGTTTATATCTTTTTTTCAGTTCTGTTATTGCCTCCAACATATTGCTTGTTGACGAGATAATGCGAGCCGGAATGAGTTCTCTCAAAGGTTAAATTCTTGCGTTTGTGAATTTATTAAATATATTTGTTTATGTGTCTGTTTGTGTTGTCCTTAAACCATTTATCAGTTTTCAGTTAGTCTTTTTCTGCAAAACTGTACAACTCATGTCTGTTAACAATATCAGCCTTAAAAACAATAATTCTTTACTCAAATGCGGTTGTAAGATCCCTCACCTTATCATGCAATGACATGGCCTGATGCTTGCAATCAGTAGGTCGTATCACGCAACTTTACAAACATGCTTCAATTGTTAGATGCCTGTTTTAGTACGCAGTCAGAAAATGCTCAGCAACTACAAATACTGTTCATGCAGAGAGAACCACGTGCATACCGTAAGTGTTGAAGTACTACAGGTGTTGCGGCAAGACTCATGATTCAAGTAGCGTTTGCTTAAAGCGCCATTGAAAAGAAAACCCTTAACTCCGCGTTCAGTCCTAAGAGACATTAACCATTACACGCTTAAAGTGAGCATTTTATTGAGAACGCGGTTCAGAGTAATAAGTAACTGTTGTCGTTCGTGATTACCAACTCTTCAGTATGCCAACCAATTCTTCAGTATGAGCTAGGTCTAATAAATCTGTTGTATATGAAAAGTCCCAAGTTAACTTCCTTCTCACAGCTTGAATAGAAGTCAGTTTAGTAGTTTGCTATCAACCTACACTATTATGTTGTATTATTGCTACTTATATTAAAAGGCGAATAAGGTACAATTGGGTTGTAATAAATGAAATCTTCAGGTTTGACCCATGCAGTTGAATACTTTCAACCGATTTTTTAGACGTTGCGGGCCGAGTGATGTACGTTTGGCTACCTGATTCAAACTTTTTTTTATTTAGACACATCGGTACAAGAAGGCACCAGATATATATGCGTCACATAAGTCATTCGATCTGTGTGAGAGCTGGAATATTATTTGAGTGCCCAAACCGAAACAGGTGGCTTTCTTAGGGGGGCACATCCGGAGCCTTCCACCTAAAGGTCTGATCCAAAAAGCAGTGGAGCAGCGACAGAAGATGAAGCCCAATGGTATCTGGTGACCAATATTTGGTTCATACGCCATTCGTTCACTCAGGATACTGAAGCCGATGTACACCATTGATTTGGGAACCGGGTTTTTCACCTCTCTTAGGTGAGTCATCCATACCCACCAACCCGGTTTAGGCTCTGGGCATCCGCTTTTCGTCCTCTCAGTCCTACAAGCAGCACCCCTGCCGTAAGGCTGCGAGTACGACTTTCTTGGAAGTGGCTGTTTATGTGTGGCCATGTGAGAGCATTTCGTGAGGGAGAGCTGACTATCCCCCCTCTCAGCCGTACCAGGGCATTTAGCGGCTCTTGATCATTAGTTTATCGATACAGTGCTACGTTGCAGTTGTAATTACAAGGCCACCTTGCATATCCGTACAGTGGAATGAAACTAAATCGTACCTGTGTTTGCTCTGAGATGATAACAAATCCCCTTTATTTGGTTACTTGTGAGAATATACATAATAACTATCAACAAAACGAGTTTGTAGACACGACATTCACAGTTCTACCCAATCGTATAAGTATATGGAAACTACAGTTAAATTACTATCTGGGTGATATCCGCATTCTTTGCAATATAGTGGGACCAGTGACAAATTCACCAGGGTTATTAAGCACATCCAAGGTCTACTGCGTAAAGCAAGTAGATACGGGTTGTCTGTAAAACTAAATATATCAGTAAATGGGGTTTTAGTGCGATGCACTACACGTGAGAATGAGTCGAAACCACTCATCTTATTTTAATCTGATTTGGCTATATGTAATAATCAATACTGTGAATCTTGATATTTCAACATATCAGAACATGTTGAAACAGACAAGTTTTAAGATCAGTGTGTGATACTAAAACTACTAACGTACGTCTGACACCTGGGAAATGTCACATATCACCGGTATTCTTAAACGGTGACGTATGGAGAGGAGTTTTCTCAATAATATTGGGATAAACTAAAGTCAACACAATTTATTCCATCAGAAGACATATCAATATGATAAGATTTAGAAATAATAGTGGCTTTTGTCGAGAAAGGTATGAATCATGTACAGGGAACCACTAGCGGTTCATCCTGTTTGGAGTTCATTACAGTGATATTTGTAATAAAATCAGACTACATGAATAAAATTCACAAAAGTGAGAAACTATATATATATATATATATATATATATATATATATATATATATTGCAAGAGCACGTTTTTAACAAATGCAAACCATAATATTTCCTCACATTAATACTGTAGCAATATATCAGGTTTTAAGTGAAAGACTTTTACTTAAATATTGTTAGAATGCTATAAACACAGTCTTCTTATTTCGAGGATTAAAGAGGAATGAGTAAGAAGCGTAAAATAGAATATCTCCACGTAGTGATTTGATGGCATTCAGAACTGCCCAGAATTCCCGAGGAAATCACTTAGAAGGTCGACGTTTGAAGTGGTCGATGGAACCTGGAAATATCACACACAGTATTAGTTTATAGTGAAAATAATTTAATTCAGATTATTTCTAAGTAATTGCACAGTTCGAGTTAAACCACGACACCTAATTCATGGTTCTAGAAGACAAAATTTCATGTGAAATATCTAAGATTTAAATCAAAATAATATAGGTGAATGAAGTCATTCTAAATAAGTTGAGATGGCGTACTGTTGTATGCTTATAAACAAATCGAATAGTTTGAAAATAATGAACAGCAAGAATCTAAGATGCTGCCGATTGCTGTTTTTTAGGTGTGGGGATATGACTGTGTTGGAATATTCAGGAAAATATTCAAAAATCATTCTGTTAGGTCTAACGCTATCCTTGGACTTGAGATGGTGTCATTTTCTTATTGGTCAATATTGTACGATGTTGTTTTCTATTTTATGGTACGATGTGGTCTGCTTGATTGGTATATAAACAGAGTATGTTTGAAATATAATGATTCATATATCAGAGGCTGAAACTTGCGTTCTGGACTCAACTGGCTGGGCTAGATAGGGAAGCGGGACCAATCAAAACTCTAAGTCGTTCTTACGTGTTTACGCGTCTTTGGTCCGATCGATAATTCGCTGCGCTCTAATCTGCAATTCACAGTTATAACAAACTGACTACTGTACATAAATTTTAAAGGATCGAACGGACATAGCATGACTAGCGAGTTGTTATCACTTATAAAATCCTATCTGGTTCAATGGATTCTGGTGGATAATTATTCATATTTGCATAAAACTAAATTTGAGACAGCTAATGAACTGGAATAAGGATGTTCGTCGCCGCTTACTGCGACAGAAGTAATTGTTTTTTGATTTCACTACGAATACGACTGTGACTTACCAAAAGGAGTTAATTGTGATATGAAAACAACGCATTCACATAGGTACATGTATTTTCAAAGCCTACAAATACTCCCAAGATGTGTGGGAATTTGTTTATATTTAAAAACTTTTACAAATATAAGATCAGTTATCTATGACAATAATTTAATAAACAGATGTTCACAATAATGATACTTAAATTATCCTCAGCACTACAACAAGATGAATAACTAGGTGACCAAATCATTTTGCTGTCTTTCATTACATAAATCTTGTTTGTCGAGATTATGTCATCTAATCAAAGACAGATTAGGAGTAGGTAAAATTACCACTCTAAAACAAACCAATCTCCTTACATGGTACACACACACCAAAAATACCACCGAATTAACGATCGGAACCTAACTCATCTTTCTCATTACTAAAGTGGTAAAGATTAATTTGGATATCTTGAGATGAAATGAAGGGTAGTTTATGCTCAACAAGTGAAAAATTGGAAAACAGTCATACGTTAGTAGGATAGTCACTCGACTCCTTTGGGGTGCAGTATACTGTAGACTATGTGGGAACCTTTTGCGGTGCAAAGACTCCTATATTGTACTTGATTTATTGTGAATATATTAGAAAGAAAAATAAGCAACGAACATTATTACATAAAAAAATCAAAAGGGGATTAAGATTTTTTCAAATTATACTTACGTTCGGTGTGCACACAGGATTTGTATAGTTTGGTTGTGACGGGTCACTGTTAAATAAGTTACCGGATACTGGGGCGGTATCTCCTACAACGCGACTACCACGAGACCGAGAAACTGCCGGCGGCGGCGGAGGGGGCAGTAGACCACCCGATAATCCAGAAGTAAGGGGGCGTGTAACTTTTGATTTGGGATTTGGATCATCCCCTGTACGACGGGTATTCAGATTTAATTTTATTTTTTCCCCTTCTTTGAAACTCATATCTTTAGCTGGTTGGTTGCTCGCGTTTTCTTCCATTTCTTTAGCTTCTTTTTCCTGTTTTAACCATCTACGCAAAACGAAAAACATAGTTTAATTACAGTTGAATCTTTTAACATAATGAAATTCATATTGAAGAAAAATAAGTAGGATTTTGATAAGCTTTATATTATTTATCCTAAAACAAGACTAAACGCAATTCAGTAAGCACGTGCAAGCTTCGAGCTAGGTGTTTTGTATGAGGAATACTTACAGCGAAGAATATGAAGAGGCATTGATCGATACAACTATCTACATTTGAACTCAAATTGTATTATCTCTACAGAAAACATACTAAAATGTAATAACTTAGAAAACAATTGTTTTTAATCAATAAGTAACCCTGTTAGTCAAAGGAAAAAAAGTGTAAATATGGTTTCGTATAACAAGACATCGTTTTAAGCCACTACAATTAATATGACAGGGTAAATTCGGAGTTACATGAGACAAAGAAGAACAACCATGGCATTTAGTGGCTAGATATATAGCAATAAGGTAGTGAAAGTAGCTATTTTCTCCACAAGTGAACTCGACTTTAAGTTACTAATCATTGCTAGCTTCCACTCTCACGCTGATTCGGCCCATTAAGTCTAAATCTTTTGACAAAACTCTAACAAACAATGAACTAGTTTGGTTTAGATTTCATCAAGAGACATTATATCGATGGGGCCTTTGTATCAAATGACGCGGCAAAAAATGTCACTTATTATGATTAGAAACTAAAAATTTACAAAAGTCCGGCTAACAATATATTTGATAATAAAAAGAATGATAAATATGGCATCAACTCATTACTGAAAAAAAATTCATACACAGAGAAAAGCAATTCAATTTGAGAGAGGTAATATTATTAACTGAAGCGGTCACCTGACTGTGTTAATTAATCGTTAAGAGGTGATATCAGTTACAGCCAAGTACATAGCAAACCAATGAACAAAATTGTTTTGAACTAAAGATGTAACCTATATTATCCTCTTTAACAAAGACGATAGAGAGAATGAAATCCGCAGTGTATCTAGTAAATATCGTATATGATTTTAAAGAAATCATATTTTAAAACGATAAGATAGAACTAAATCATCTTAGGTGACTTGGTCAAGATTAGTTACGGTTTAAGGAAACTTATTGCTATAAACTGAATGGAGTACTAACAGATAAATCAGTAGAAAGATTAACCTATTACTAACATTTCGTAACTGCTTTGCAAGATAGAATGAAGTAACCATTCAGTATAACTATTTTGAAGTATGTTTCTAAATTATATTTCATTAAAATCGCTGATTACTGCTCGTGGTATGTATGGTTGTGAAATAACTTCCTTCTGCTACTACTTATTCAGCAGAACAAGATTAAAATGATGTTTCATCATTATTTTGGATGCCGTAGTTGGTAAACAAGTAAATTCTTATTTAACAGTCTTGCTTCCTTCATCGCATCCAGCCATTTCAAATATCTGATCAATAAACAAATTTGAATGAATTGAACTAACAGTTAATTAAGAATTTAATGAGTGTATACGATTTATAAAATCAAAATGTGAAAATGCTTAAACTAATAAATATGACTAAATTATTGAGCTATATATTTTGCTCCTCCCTAACAGTTTAATGTAAAACTTTAATGTTATATTATTCCTATGATCTAAAAGTTAAGAATGTAAGCGAAGGCTGAACTTATAGAAAATAGAAAGGTAAAACTATACCATACAGAGAGCCTTGAGTGATCAACCAAACAATCGAAAAATGTTAAGTTTTAAGGCAATTTATAATAAAAAGTAATAATAATAATAATAATAATAAAGGATAGAATAACATGATTAATTAACGAAAAAAGTTAGGGTTGGGAATCAGGAGTCGGAGAAAATTTAGGAGTTAAGATTAGGAGTATTAAGGTCAGGAATCAGGGTTTGGGTTTCATCACCGACTGATATCGACTATTATAAAAGGACAAGTAAAGCCAAAATATTACAGTAAGCTCAAAAGACAACTTAAATGACCTAACTGGTGACCGATAATGCTAAGGCTAGGATTTAGGGTTGGTATTATTGTTTGAGATTAAGATTTACGGTTAGGATGCAGATTATAGAATTTACTGTTATGGTTGAGATTTAGGACGAATATCAACTAAGCGCAAAACCTAGTACCATTCGTTAAATTTTAAACCGTAATCCTAAATTCTACATCGTAATCCTAAACTACGAATCCTAAGGAATAGTCAGCCATACGACCTAAACACAGAAAAGAACAAAAAGCTTTATGGTTAGACCATAGTCTAGTACCAAACTAATATTAGATTTGCAAGAAAATTCTGCGTAATGCATGGCAAATACATTAAATATTACTTTTGTTTAGAAACAATGCTTCAAATGCATTTCAGCACTATGCAAAATATTATTAATCACAGGAGATGGAATTATGACTCTGCACAGGTATAAGTTATTTCAGTAGAGAACATAGGGTTCGCAAAACAATAAAATAAATATACGACAATAAATCTGATTTTAGGGGACCCAATATGAGATCTAGGAAGATATCTATTAATTTTACGTAATACCCTTCTGAATAACACAGGAAATCAAACGAAAACAAAGAACTGGTAACTAAAATATCAACTCACTTGAAATGGTCTTGAATTGCTACATTAAGGTCAAAAGAATCCGCACGTTCTGCGAAACCAATCCCTACAAATTTAGTTTCACCATTATCATTCATTAATCGAATAACAAAAAATCGACTTGAGTCAATAACTGGTTCAACGGATATCCCAGGAAATGAGTCCACTGGGCATTCAGCATATAGCTGTCCAGAATTCTTATCTTCCAATCGTATCACGAGATCTTTACCTTTGGCGATAACACGAAGTCTTCCAGTCCACATAGGAGTTTCTAGGTTCCAGTTATTAGCCCTGTAACCCCGATTAGACTGTCTTGAAAGAATCTGATAGACAAACACTTCATTTTTCACAAGTAGCACGTTTTCATAATCCATAACATTCAACAGGACGATATTAAACAATGAATCAACAAACTACTTCACTGGGACACAAACTAAGAAAGAAACACAAAAATGAGCATGAGGGAAGAATAATAATTTCTGACTTCAATGTAAGAATATTTAAATAAAAATCAAATGACATTTTACTTGCCACAACAGTTGTCACTCCAAGATCAATTTCCACATAGGAAGAAAATTTGAGATGAGAGTTTGATTTTTTAAATCCCAACATATCTCACCGATGAGAGAGCTGATTGACTAAGAGGATGGTCGTATTCTGAGTTATTTCGGTCTCTGGAGTGGGGGTTGAGACATGACTGATAAGTGTGGAGGATATAAGCGTTATACATTATGTCATACTTATTAACAACTCGTACTGTTATAATAAGGTCTGTACCGCCACCACACATAGTTGGAGATAATCAACAAAAAAGACCGTTGCTAATAATAATTATTATTAATGGCTTTATTCAATATTATATTTTGGTACAATATAGAATTCTCAGCACAAGGTATTTCAGCAAAGTTTCTTTTACAAAAAAAACAAAAACAAAGACAAAAAAGAAAGGAAAAAAGTTAGAAAAAATTTGAAAAACTGTACAACTTTCAAAATTCGAGACATTTTAAGAATGCAGGTCATTGACTAGGTTAACTTTAACAATCTGTTCGTCACAGAGTATATTTGCTGGGTAAGGTATTATAGAACTTTTATACTTTTGCTTGCGTGCATGGATTTTAATGTAATTACGTCTTGTTCTACCAGAAGATATACAAGGAGAAAGATATGAGTGAAGGGGATGGTTAGTATCTGATAAGATAACACCTGTCAGGAGTTTGCCTGATTTGAGATGTCTATCCACAACCATATTAAGTATGAACTCGAAAGATTCACCACACACCTTGTTAACTGCCTTCAGCACTCTCCGCAATACAGCAAAGTCTTTTCTCAAAAGTCCAGGAAAGAATGATGGAGAACAGTAAGGAATAATAGGTAATATGCAAGAATTGACAAATTGTAAGATTAAATCACGAGTAACCCCAAGAGCATGCAGTCTCTTTATGTAGTAAGTCAGACGGAAAACTTTCTTCGATAACAATAAAACGTGAGAAGACCAAGAGAGATCAGAGGAAAAGGTGACACCAAGATAATTGATCTTCGACATTGTGTTTATCAAAGAGTCTCTAATGTCACAAGCATTATGGGATCCCAAAGTGGAGTTTAGATGACGTTTATGTTTCATGCTAAAGTTAAGTTCAATCAATCTGTTGTACAGAAAAATTCCCATACTATAAATTAAGACAATAGATATTTACAATTAGTTATATCCATCGTAGAATGACACAAATGAGAATCACCAAAAGTTGTCAAACCACAGCTGGGCAGCGAGGTAAAATTATCAAGACGAGGAGAAAAGTTGAGATAATAGCAGTAACAATGACAGCAAGAGAGTCAGAGGATTGAGATGATGGTTCGAAATGAAGGAACATCGGAATTCAAGACCTAAAGGAAGATAAGAATGAATACATCTGACACTACAACTGATTCTGACTATTGTTACTCAACATCTACAATCACTCATTGCGATTTCAAGTGGAATCTATCGACGTGGTCTGTATCTATCAACACAGTTCAGTCCAACAGCCAATGATGTCATGGACTAATTCCACATCTTCGTTTGACCATCTCTAACTGCACTTCAAACTACTTCTAAACCATCTAACAAAGTGCGCCGGAGTAGATGACGGTTGGATATATATGATACACATTTCAATCACCTTATTCCATAAATATTCACTACTTCATCATCCTGTGTTCTCATCTCCCCCTAGTATTTTTCATACAACCTCAGAATTTCTGAGATATCTACAATAAAACATTTGTAGTCTACGCATGTCTCCTACTTCGAAAAACTATGTATCATAAACATCGAGTAAAACAAAGAAGATTGCTCAAAGCAAACTTTCTCTTTCTTGACAGATTGACATCAAAAGTGACACGAATTGGCGAAATTCAGTTGGGCTTTCCGAATTCATCCCGAAGTTTTTTCAGTCACTAACCAATTCACCTGGGCTGGTGAGGCTTCTAACTTAACGGAAGAGACCGGCGAGCTCAACTACCTTATCCCTGATCATCAGTCTAGGCATCAAAGTAGACCAGTCCTGAAGCAACACTTTTCATCTAAAGAGGGAGAGAGGAATGCCTTCTAAACACGCTCCCATCGTTACTTGGGGAGATTGGAAGACTGAATTTTGTCAACGTCTTCACCAAACAGGATAATGTCGTTTGTCGACTCTATATCGGCAAGTAAATTTCCTTGCAGGAGATCAATCCATGAGAAGACGAACGAAGAAAGGATCACTGACAAAAAAATAGCCGCAACAAAACTATATAAGCGTAAGGACAACGAACCACCCTAACGAACATCACTTAATGTTTCTAACTGTTAACTGTTTCCTCACAAACCCTGATTAAACAGATGGCTTTTGCGTAAATAATCTATGCAAAATATATGTATTTCTTCGGTGCATTGCTTAAAGACAACAATTGCCACACAAAGTTTAGGTGAAAATTGTCAACAATACTCAATCAAATAAACTGCCTTGTTCGAACTAAAACCAGTCGTTTTCACCAGTTTTCAGTTCAAGAGCCCCAGTTCAGCGTTGGATTAGTATAGCTAATATTTGAAAAACACTATTGGTCAAAATGACTTCTCTGTGGGTAGCACAAGAGGATTTTAAATCTTCCTCCTAAACTGAGATGATCAGCATTTGAGAACAACCATAAAGTTGGACAGGACTGTCCTCTGAGATTGTCAATTGAAGGGTGTGCCTGAGTTTAATAACATCTTAAAACCCCTACATACAAACACCTCAGACCGAGTGAGAGCATACAACTACCTCTCTTCATTGTTCCATTCAAGCAGTGGGATTAGACAGGGTTGCCCAATCTCACCATTCCTCTTCAACTCTGCCATCGATGACGTTCTGGAAACAGCTTTGATGGATGTAGGTAATGGTGGTGTAGATCTGTAGCCTGAATAAATACTTTTCGACCTTGAGTGTGCAGATGATATTGTCGTACTGTGTGATGATACCGAAACCGTGCAATCTGCTACTAACTGGTGGTATGTCGGTAGACGAAGTTGCGAACGATGATCGATTGAGACAGGGAGAATATGTGTAGATCCAGTCTAATCACCCCTTAATCCATACCATGCTGGCTACGATGATATATGATATCATAAGGGTTGAAGTATCATCAGAGCACAGTAGTCAATTGCAGATAAGAGTTATCTAAGGTTTAGACTTTATAGATGTAGCTCATACGACAACCGTAACATGACTAAAATTCCTGTGATGGCTCTAATTCAGTCAAATTCGTCAGCATTTATTCTTCCCCCAGCTGATGAATTGTCATTTATTATTATCTGCCGAAACACATAAACATTGGTATAAGGAGTTACTAAATATATATGCGCCACAATTTATCATCCGATTTGTGTGAGGACTGGGATATTGCTCGGAAGCCCATTTTAAACTTCAAATTCCGTATATAACTCAAGAACCATCTTCGGAAAAGTCTACATACCGAAGTTTAGTGACGATTTAGGTCAAGTGCAACTGATCAGGGAGTTTTTCACTTTTCCTGAGGTAAGAATTGTTGCCTTCTAAATTTTCGTTTCGTGACATTTTTGTCCAGGAATACAAAAAATGTGGGGAACTAGATATAAAATCACTAGCTAATTTGGAGACAGTGGTGAGATCACTAATAATACTTCTGTATCGTAAAGGGAATATGTTTTTAGGTCTATATCTTGTCATACACTAGCTTCGAGATTATAGTTAACTTAGTCACAGTTCTCTAAATCATTTCCAAAACACCACCATCTTTTCTTACACAGTAACAAATCAATTGTGTGTAATACTGAAGCTTCAATCGTTAAAAAATGGCATACAAAGTAAGGCATGTGATATCTATGGTGCTGAAGTTTCTGGTACTAACTGTTCTATGACTCAATAGTTATTGCAAAAGTACGCAATGGAAATAAATTTTTTTATCAAAGAAGACTCCTTAATAATCGTTTGAATGCTTTGGTGGCCAATATGCAGCATGATGAACTTACATTCACTAGTTAGCAAATACAAAATTCAAGGTCTAACTGCCTTACAAAAATATACACCCATTGCAGTTTCTGTAGATATTTCCGGCATTCTAAACTAGTTTTTCCACTTCGTCTAACTTTCTTCATTCTAATTTCGTCAGCATATAACAAGATTAATGGTAATATGGGAGTAAAAATGTAGTTTGTATGCGGAATCAAAAACACTACTGAAGACTGAAAGCTGTGCACTGAAGTGCCCCACTAAGCACTATCCCACAAAATGAAATATTAGCTTTACATCTATAGCCACAAATAAGCCCATATAAATGAAATTTTATATGGAAACATGGTAATCAACCACTGCTTACACTAAACGGATAACGCGATAAACTAAAGTAGTTGCGAAGAACTTCAATGTACAATTAATATTTACTTAAACCCTAAACTACGTATACTGATGGGCAGAAACACTTAAATGTTAGTTCTTTGGTATTTATGCCGTTCTTTGAGCAGAGGACTTTCCTTTGTGGAATAGGTCTGTAGCTCTTCTAGGTTAGTGCCGGTCTCAAGCATGGATAAAAGGGGAGGAGTCATCAGTTCCATCCCATAGAAAATAACCTTCTTAACAAACGCCAACCAGTACAAACAAATTAAACCATTTACACTCTGCCCTGGGAGTTGAGGGAAGAATTATGACGCCTCATGGTGTAAGCCAAGATCGTTCGGAAGTCATGAGGCTGGCGCTCCTTTTACCAAGCAGAGAAACTATTAATATAGGCTCACGGAATGTCCAGACAATGTGGGAGGTCAGAGGGACGAGGTCGAAAGGTTAATATTATCTTTCGAAGAGAAGGATGCTTTTTCTGTGGCAAAATAATTACTCAAGTCCTA